CAATAAAATATATTAAAAAAAAAAAAAAAAAAAGGATGAATACCCTTCCTATCTACCAGACCTCCACAGGCTTGCTATCAGGCTATTTCACGTGGCAACCAACTACAATTTGCTGTCGTAAGTTGGGAGCGAGGTCCTGCCTTACTCCATCTGAGAAAGCGGAGCAGCTGAGCAGCAGCTGTCCTGGTCCCAGCCTAGGGTGTTTACCTAAACCTTGCCTGTCTTACTGGGATCCATGAGCAAAACAGGGGAAAGGGCCCAGCTCTCATTCAGTGGCTCTGCTACAGCTCATGCACAGGCCCATCCTGGGTTCTGTGCTACAAGCTCCCCCAAAGCAGGGAGAAGGGGCAATATTTGTGCACAACCTGCAGTTAGGGGAGGGGCCTGGACTTAAGAGACAAAGTCCTGGGAGCTCTCAGGGCAGAAGGGCAGTGGTCACTGAGCTTTTACTCTGCAATTAGCATTTCAAGCATCTACTTAATCCAATGCCATGGTATAATAAGTTCTATTCTGGCTGGGGGTCCTGTAGTCAGGCCGTTCCTTGAAGAATCTGGGGAGAGAGGCACTGTGAGGGAGAAGCCAAGCCAAACACTCCCAAAGCAGGAGATCTGAGGCAGTGAGGATACCAGTCTATTATGACTTAGTGGTTCAACTTCTACCCATGCACTGGTGGGGGAAGTAATAGCAGGGAGGAGGATACTGGCTCCATGAACAACGATCCAGCTGATTCTCCCACAGACAGGCCCTGTCTGACTCATTAACAGCCTTGGGGGAAGGGAGGTATATCATGATCGACTCCTCTCTCCTACTCTGTACACTTGAGTCACTCATACTGAGTCAGCTCCAAGGAGAAAAGCTGCGTCCAAGAAGCTGATACCGCACCTTATCGGGCTGGAAGGCCCACTGGGGCTTTCAGTGTGACATGCAGCAGATTTCTCTGTACAAAGGTTGCAGTTCTGGAAAGACAAAGCTGATCCACTAGCGAGTCATTATGTGGGGCAGGGTGTGGGGTAGGACATAACTCGGCCCCTCCCTATGCCAAATGATTTACCATTTGGTTATAAATGGGAAGGGAAATTGCCTAAGCCCAGTTCCCTGACTAGGCTGATAACAACTGCTTGGAAGAGGTGGGCTTTGGGGACGGGCGAGGGGAGGAAGCAGTGCTAGAGTGCCGATTGTCGGGGAGAGTGTCAAGGATCCCTCCTTAAAAGAAAACAGGAGTCTCTGTGAGATCAGTGCAGAAGAGAAGCAGCCTTCTCAGGCCTCACCCTCCAGAGCACCTCTACTGGTGGCAGGAGCATAGGGTTAAACTCAGAACCTATGGGGAAAGCAAGGGATGGAAGCAGTCAGGTCTCCTTCTAGCAGCGGTTCTCAACCTGTGGGTCGTGACCCCTGAAAATACATCCTGCATATCAGATATTTACATTATGATTCATAACAGTAGCAACATTACAGTTATGAAGTAGCAACGAAAATAATTTTATTGTTGGGTCACAACATGAGGAACTGTATTTAAAGGGCCAGAAGGTTGAGAACCACTGATCTAGAGTCTCTGTTCAGACCTTATATAGTTATGCGCCTAGTGTTAGTAAGCTGTGTACGGCTTCCGTATATGTAGGAAACAACTTTTCAAGAATCAGAAACTCCACCAAAAAAACTGTTCAAACTAGTAAATTCAGTAAAGATTCAGGATACAAAATCAAGAGTCACAAACTAAACAGTGCCCTAGATAATGGGGTCTCCATATTACTGTATAAGTTCCTGGAGAGAAAGACAGCATTTTATCTTCCATCCTCCACTGCCTCCAGCACAGGGCTTTACACAGTGTACAAGCTCAATAACTATTTGTTGAGTGAATAAATGTTGCACGACAGGGGAGAAGGAGAAGTACTGGTATTTGGGGGACAAAGGTCTTAATGACAGATGTATCCTCAAAATGCCAAAGGCATGTGGAGAGACCTCTGTGCTGAAGATTCCAATGCTTAGACTCCTAGTGACATTCATGTTTCTTCTCTCTCACTTTCACTCGCACATCTCCTGAGGAGCTGCAGTGGATTCGGGTGTCTCATTCTGCCAGCATCAGATAACCTAGGAGGCTGGGATGTACTATCTCCTTCCTTTCCTAGATCTGGTGTTCCACCATAAAGAAGCCAGGCCGGGAAGAATGGCAGCTGGCGAGGCCACACTAGAGGACTTAGGCTCTCACAAAAGACCTGATCTCAGTGTGCTGCCCATAATCTCACCTGAGCAGGGCTCAGATGCCAGGAAGAGGGACTAAGGATTAGCACAGAGGAAGAAAAGCCCTGAGGCTTCACCCTTTCTGATGCTAAGATGAGGACAAAACACATAGAGAAAAGGCAAGCCTGGCAAGAGGCACCTGGGGTTCACTTCCAAGTGCTCACACTCCTACTGCTACAGACTTGACCCCAAGAGGAAGAATCCCAAACCTTTTATGACCCTAGTCTCTCCAGATCTGGAAGATTCTTCTTGCTTTGTAACAGCCCCCTTTGTGGCCTTGGGCTTCCCTGCCAAGTACAACCAGAAATTAAAATGGTCCTTTTTAGTTCTGAGAACAGGTGGGCTCTGCCCATGCACGGATGTGGAAACCTAGATGGCTAAGGCCTCGGCTGTTCTTCCCCAAATGGACTCTGACAGCTGAAAACCCAGGAAAGCAGATGCTGAGAAATAACCAAGACAGGTCAGCTGACTGATTAGGAGGACCAGCTGTGATGTGAGGTCTAGTCTGACAGACACTAGTTGAGAGACCTTGGGCAAATCGTCTAGCCTTTCTGAGCCTGTTGACTCAATGGTAAAAAATAAAAAAAAAATCTGTCTGCTAGGGTGGTTGTGAGGATTAAATGTACAATACTTCACATGATGCACATAGTAAGTGCTCAATAAATGTTAGCTCTTTTAGCCTGTTATTAAATGATCATAATAAAATACTGAATTTCCAGAGAAAGCAAGCTCTATAGTCTCCTTCCTCCTATGCTGTCCCTTTCTTAGTCACTATGTCCTCCTTCTCGCTGAAAGAAGTCCCACTGTATCAAAACTGTGGGTGGGTTATGTGTCCCACAAAGACAGATGCCAACACCATGGCTATATGCATTTTCCAACAACTGCAAATTCCTCATTCTTTTCTCCCTTCTTTTCTATGCTGGGCTGGTAGCCAGGATGGGAGCTAGGCTGGTGGTGAGTCAGAGGGGGGAACTGGGGCACCATTGTCTGGCTGGGATACCAGGTCACTGACACTTGGTTGTCCACTGGGCAACTTCCCCTGTATCTGTCCAGATGTGGAATGGAAGGTGAGTATAACCTACTGACGGGCTTATCTCTTCCCTGCTCTGCATCCTAAACGGACATCTACGACTGCTGTGGCTCAGTCTTCTTTCCAGACACTGGGTATGTCCGTGATTCACTCTATACCAGGATGGCTTCCTGCTTTCTTTGTGCTTCTCCTAAATGATTTGGGAAAGTTCAACCAACATCCCTTCCCCTAAAAAAAGGCAGGTAGCAGGCATTCTGCAGATGCCTCAGTGACAGGGAATGAACCTTACCCTTATGAAAACAAAAAGCAGGATCTTCAGAGAGTGGGAGGGAGGGATTATGAAGAGGAGTGGTCAGGAGAATGAGGCTGAGGTTCATATCTCCCCTTCCCCAGCACACACAAAATTCACACATATAGTCCCTTCTCCTCCCCATGGTTGCTGCTCTGAGAGGTTCTGGTAGATATCCCAGGTCTCAAGTCAGGGTGGGAGGGTCTCTGCCACAGTTCTCAGAAGGTAAGGAGTTAATGGAATGGCAGTGCAGTTTAGTAAAAACAACATTGGCAGAGTCAGGTGTACCAGCCTTGCTTTTAGCTCTATGACCTGAGACAGGTCACTTTATCTCTCTGGGTCTCTGAGTTCTTCCTTTGTAAAATGAGGCAGCTGGAATACATGAATTCTAAGGTTTTTTTCCATTCTAACATTCCATGCTTTTATCAGTGAAATGAAACAGATGGAAGGAAAGAAAAGGACAGAGTGACCCTATGTCAGACATCCTGTCTCCATGCCACCTTGCCCCTCTGTCCCTCCCAGGGATTTTACCTCATCCTCATTCTCCACTTTGGGGTTGCTGGCTGTTCGTTTCAGGTTGCTGCTGAGACTTATACTGGCGGTGGCATCTGACTTAGAGCGCTGGTGAGTCCTTTTAGAGGGAGACAGCCCTGTGTCAGGGGCTGGGCTCAAGGAGGGCAGCTCCCTCTTTCGGTGAGCTGGCTTCAGCTCATCTGAGAGGATCAGCTTCCGTAGCTTGGTCCCACGGGAGTGTCGTTGAGTGGAAATGTGCATGTCTGAAGAGTAGGCCCCGAGCAACAGGGCACACTGTAGGGAAAAGTTAATGCTCTGGCGGCATCGGTGGACTATGTAGGGCTTGATGGCGTCACCTACGTCCTCATCCATGTGGATGTACATGTTAAGCAACTGGGGCAGATAGAAGTCCACGTCCTCATTGCGAAAGCAGAAGAGCCGATTGCCGATGTAGGCTTGCACTCCAGGCTCCTTGGAGTTATACAGGTATGAAATGGCCATGGAGATGTCAAATAGTTTTGACTCAAACAGTCTCAGCAGCCAAGACTGTTTGGCTGAGTTGTTCTGCCGCCGCCTTCTTGCTCCCTTGGCTGTGCCCGAGGCCACAGTGACCCCCATCTCATCTTCCTCCTCTCTTATCTGGGCAGGAGGATCGTCCAGGCAGCGGATCTCACTGTCCACACCATCCCCATTGACCACCTCCAGTGGAGTGCCTCTGCTAGAAACGGCCACGCCTCCATGCAAAAGCTTGACCTTCTCTAGCACCTCCTGGCAGGCCTTTTGGGCCACTTCGGGGTCAATCACTGATAGTTCCCCGACCCCCTCCGTGATGACGCTTAGCAAGGAGCCCCCGTTATTCCCTGATGGACCAGGAGTGGGCTCAGAAGTTGGCTTCAGGGTGGCAGGTTCCACTACCGTGTCTCCCATGGCCACAGCCAGACTTCGAGCTTCCAAGCTACAGGAGGGAAGAGGGAGAAAGGAACAGAAAGGGAGACACATAAACATATAGGTTAGTGGTGCCATCCTCAGGTCTTCCCTTTGCCATGAAACCTTCCTAGGCACCTTTTCTCTTTCTGTCTGGACTCCTTCAAAAACAGATGAAAAGTCATCTCCCGCCAAGAAGCTTTCCCTGACCACCTCCCCTTCATTCCTTCTGAATTTAGTTACTCAGCTTGGGCTCTGTTCCTAACTTGTATTTACAAAATGTTGCTTTATATGTGTTCTGTTTATACAGGGTTACAAGTTCTTCAGCTAGGTTGAAAAGCAATTCTGGTCTTATTCCTTTGTCCCTATTCTATCTTTGTGCTCTTCCCATGTCTCTTTTTAAATGCCCGCCCATAACCCTTTTCTTTTCCTCTTTGAACTGTATTTCCTTACTCATTAACACTCCATACACAGGTCCTGGGTATCTCACCTTTATTTAGTATTAAAGTCTTGATGTATTTTTCTAGTTATTGATACATTTTTACCTTTCCTTTTAGAATCAAAGTTCCCGTGGAATAAGGGCAAGCAGTACCAGGCCAAGCTTCATTTAGAAATAAATACCTCTAAAACAACTATCAACCACCCTGCTGAAGTCGTGCCATTTGTCTGACTTCATGATGTCACTTCCTCTTTCTCCAGGGCTGTGACAGCTAAAGCATAGCGGAAAGAGTCTGAACGTGGGGTCAAATAGGCTGGAGTTAAAAAGTCTGCCATTATGAAATGTATGAACTTATGCAAGTCATGTGGCTTCTGAGTTTCCGTTTCCTCGACTGCAAAAATGGGAAAAACATATCTATACCTCACTGTTGCCACGCAGAATAATTAACTTCATGCATGTAAAAAGATCGAGCATAGTCCCTGGCACACAGCAGCACTCAATAAATGCTAGCTGAATCCTAATTACTGAAAAGCTTAGTAAACAGTGTGTGTGAACCTGTGTGTGCGCACACGCATATACTGTTTATTATAAGGGAAGTGAATTACAGTTACCTCGTTGTTTGAAAATCTTCCAAAACATTTATGACAGCCCTCTGCTATCCCAACACTACTTTCCCCATTATCATATACACACTCCAAGAACTGGAGGGGCTGTGGAAAAAAAAAAAAAAAGGAAAAGAAAAAGAAATTAGGCTGGAACTCATGGGTCTAGAACATCTAAAGAACAGGGGGAACAGGAATTACACAACCAGGAATTCCTCTCTGGAGGGAGTCTTGGGAGGAATTTCAGCGAGAGAACACTGCTGACAAAAGCCATTGCCTTCCTAACATGATTCTCCAGAGGCTCACCAAATCCAGATCAGGAAAATCAGTGCAGAACAGAAAGAAATTTCAAAGTAAGGACTGGGAGAGGCACGCTGTTAATGTCAGATCAACCCAGCTCAAGAGTATGACTGTAGTCAGCTCAGAGGCCTCCTCACAAAAATGCAGACAGAGTGAATCTAAAACATGCTCAAGGATATGGGCAACAGAAAGGCAGAGGCTGCTGTAGAGCTGGAGTACAGGTAATTTACAACTAATAGTGGCATCACCTTTGACCCTAGTGAACCTGGGTGCAAATACTTTGTGGAGGTGGAAGGAGGCTCCAGATACAGATGCACTAGTCACTCTGGAAAGCCCCATTTTCCACTGCCCCTTCCTATACCTCTAACATGTTAAGAGTCAAGGTTACTTTCATCTGCCCAATATTATGCAGTCTCGCTCCCTGTCTCCCAGCAATCAGCATTAAAATCTCACAGGAAGGCAGAGAGGGAACTCTTCTGTTCTCAGAGATCACCAAAAAAGGCTACTTCAGTTTTTCTCCCAACTCTGTCAAGTAAGAAGTTCACCTCCAAATTTAATATCCCGATGCAGTCTGAGTTTGTCATTGGTAAAAAAGGTGGCAACTCTTTCACTATACTCTCCCCAAATTATGCAGTGCCTTCTGAGCAGTAGAACCAGCATGGTTGCCTGCATGGATCTGTCTCTACTCGCAACTACGGTTGCACAGGAATAATAAGAAGAAAGCTTTAGTCATCCCCTGCCACACCTCTATAGGGCATTCTGCACCAGAAGGTCATTCTAATTCAACTGGGACCACTACCTTTTAGGTCTACTTAGAAACTCACATGACAGCTTCAGTTGTTTTATGCAAACAACCCTTTTGCTTCTCAATGTCTCTATGCTTGGCACATCTTTCCCCTTTTCTCTACACCAGAGACTTTCAAGTCACCAACACCTTATAAGGTCCACTTTTCCAAACTTCCAAAGAAAATGAAGTTAAGACATTCTCCCACATACAGCGTCTCAGATCTCACTAGGAAATGCAGTAGTTGTCTGCTCCAAGTGATCACAGTGGGGGTTATTACTGGCACCAGTAAAAGAGGTAAGGATAACATCATTTCTTTCACCCTGGGACTCAGCTAGGAATCCCCTATGACAGTATTCAGGGGACCTTCCCACTGAACAGAAACCCCATTTGGCAGCTCTTACTCCCCAAGGAACCAGATGATGTCAAGAGGTGCAGGAAAACCAGACTTCTCTCCTATAGAAGCAGCTCTGCACTGGAAACTGCCAAGCTGGGCCTCCCTCCTGGCCTCTCTGAGCCTGCATCTGAAGCAAACATGGGGGGGAGGAAGTCCTGAAGGGAATGTAGGTTGTTTTTGTTAAATGTAGACAATAAAAAATAGGAAAGGTGTTTTCTAAAATCTAAATCCAGATATGGTCCTCAATATCAATTCTTTCACTTTCAAATGCAAAGAAAAAACAGCATTGATAAGTAACCATTCTAAAGTGAAAGGACTAGAAAGTGAAAGGAAAAAGGAAGAAACGGGTCCTGCAATCAGCACCCTTCTCCTTACAAGCCAGAGAATAAGTAAAAACGGAGAGAAGAAAACCCAAACCTTTAATATCAAAGGACTCCCCTGGCTCTCAATGACATTCAGACGCAGGAGGCTCCACATGTTGCACTAGGTGCCTGATCTGGCCTTCCAATGAGACTGGAAGGGAATCGAAGAGGCCTCCCCTACCCCGCCTAGCAGCTGGCTTCTAGGAAAGGCAAGTGAACGGCTAAGTCTGGGCAATGTCGGGAATCCTCATCTGAGCATCAGAGGGTTTTTCAGAGCAGAGCAGCGGTAGAGGGCAGAGGGGTTACAGGCATGTGTTCTGTGTGATTGAGCATTGAAGTAAATGTCTCCAGAGGACCCTGGGGTGAGGGAGTGTTATCACTTAACTTGGCTTTCCACTTCTCTTCACCTCAAAAGATTCTATGCAAACCACCCTCCATGGCCTCCATTTAAGGATTTACTGAACTGGTCTCTGCTAGGACAGGATGGTAAAGAGCCCTGAATCCATCCCCTCCATCCCCTCACCCAGTTCATCACCATTCCCTTCTTCAAATATTTTTCCATGGGCTAAATAAATATGAATTGGTTCAGAACAATCCCCATGTTTTTATATGTCCCTGTATTTTCATAGAATGGCCTTTAAAAGATCATCTGATTTCGTGCTCTGTCTCCAAACAGATAGGTGAGATCAACTTCCCTCCTCCTTTGAGATGGATCATATGAATTGGAAAAAGGGAAAGCAGAGCCAGTATCTTCATCCCACAAGATGGGTAGTTAAGAGAGCCTGTTAGAGTTAATGGAGCCCAGCCGGCGTGGCTCAGTGGATGAGCAACAACCTTTCTATTTCTATTTCTCTCTCTCTCTCCCTTCCTCCATCTCTAAAATCATTAAAGACATTTTTTAAAAAGTTAATGGAAAAGAGGGAGCATCTGATATCTTGCTCCCCAGTGTATGTCATCAGTTTGGCTCAAACTCATAAGAATTCTTTAAAAATTGTTAATGGAAAAGAAAGGGAGGTTCAAATATGTTATTTAAGGTTTCCTTAATAATGAAATTAAAAAATGACATAATCACTTCCTTAAATGAAAATGACATAATCATATAGACAAGAGGTATAAATCCTAGAGCTTAATCCTCTTTGTAACAACTAATAAATCAAGAAATAGAGACACAAGCATTTTATCTAAAGCTCTGGCAATAACCTTCAGAAGTGAACACTGAGCTAATTAAGAGGTTAACTCTAAAGGAGTAGAAGAGATGAATGGAAAGGGACTGTTGCTTTTCGTCATAACTCTTATGTACCACTGGATTTGTTACCAAGTACACATATACCTTTAATAATGATTTTTTAAAAGGCTGCTCTTCAAAAGACACTCCACATCACTCTAGGCTACCTGTTCTCCTGTTGAGAAGTTCCTTCTCATGTTTTAAGGTCTAATTCAAACCTTGCTTTAAGGAGGTCTCAGCTCATCTTTCCCCCTTGACCTCAATGATAGAGATGGGAGACTGAGTACTACTTTTTCCTTGTAGAAACGAAGGCCCAAGCAGTCAAGCAGGCTCAAGCCCTAATAGGAACCAGGTAAGTGGTTACTCAAAGCCCCAAGGGAGGTTGGCATCAGGAGAGAGGGCATTCTCAAGCTACCAGCAGGGGGGCAGGGAGGGCAGTGGTCTCAGGATAGTTAAGTCAATATTGAATCAGGCTGAGAACTCTCTCTGCAGTGCCATGGAGCTAGTCTAAGCAGATTCCAGCCAGACAGCCCAAGCCAGCTCCGGAGCCTCTGCTGAAACACAGACAACAAAGAAAGCAACCTGTACACTCACCTCTCTCTGAACTGATCCTCCCTGCTGCCAGCCCCACATGGGCTTGGACTAGGTTCTCTCTTATCTCATGCCAATTACTGAAAGGTTCCTCCCAAAGTTCTTCCCCAAATCAAAGAATCTCAATTTGCTGCTTTGGATGGTGTTCAGCAAATATGTTCTCATGCAGTGTGCACCCAGCTCTGAGAAGCAGGAAAACCAAGGAAATATGATTTCTCTCCGGAAGTGCTTCCAAGGAGTAAAGCTGCTCCTAAAAAAGGGAGGTAATGAGTAGACTGCACTCTGGCTAATGAGGAAAGACAAGGGAGAAGTGGGATGAGGTTGTGTGATGACTTTCAAACAGGCCTGGAGTCGGAAGGGGAGTGGAACTTCACGTGTCCTCTTTGCTATCGCAGGCCGAGAGAGAGACACGGCATGCAAGGGGGCAACGAGCTTCCTACGTCCCAACTCACTCCAGTTCTCTTCTCCAGCTAGCGTCCTCAAAGGTCTTGGCCACAAACATACTTTCCACCTATGGAATCTGCACTTACGGATCAAGTACAGGAGGACGAGCTCAGCAACTATTGCACCTGGGGGGGGGGGGGGGGGGGGGGACGGGACGGGGACGACAAGGTAGACGAAAGAAGCAGGCCTGGAGCTTGTCTTCCAAACAGATGTACTCCCGTGGATGTAGACTAGACCAAAGGAAAATTCTCCAGACAACTAAACCACTACTAATATCTTTTGTCGGAGAAACCCAGAATGCTTTGTAAAAAAAAAATAAACTGAGTCTATCCCCCGCCAACCCATATCCTGCTATTAGCCTATCATCGCACTGATGCCTAGAGAGTGGGCCCCTTTCCCCAAAATGCCACTCGAGAGGCCAAGTAGGAAGTCACATGAACCCAGAAGTCCTGGTGCTGAAGGCACAAGCTCTTCCCATGGTTCCTGGGCTCCTCTTCCCAGTTACCCCCTAGCCCACCCCAGCCCTAAGCGCTTAGGGAACAAACCAGAACGCCTCCAACCAGAGAGTACACGGATGCCTTTGGGATCTGGGCAGGGGTGGGAGCACAGTCTACACTTGGATCCCTTTAAGACAAGCCTAAAATTATATAATTTAAAAAAATTTTTTTTTTTCCTCACAACGTCATTCAGTTTCCAGGCAGGACTGTTCATCCCTCCCAGAGGCGGACCCTGAGCAGTCAACAAAGTGTAGTCCGACAGGGACCTCTCCAAACTGCTCCATCCTCCACCAACACCCTCCCGGCCAGAAAAGCCCCGGGACAGCCGG